GCTTTCTTCCCCTGTTTGCATGCTTGCTTGCTTGTTTGCTGCACGTGCAATTTTGCACAAAACAATAGGCACCGATTGACGGAAGGACTGCTTTTTTGCAATGCAATGGCTTTGGAAACTCACCCACTTATGGTCTTGGTTTAATAGCTCTACGACAAACTTTTTGTCACTGGTATAGATTAATCTTGCACTGGTAAAAGCTAAATAAACTCTTTAGTACTGTATCTATCCAATGGCCATGACAATGACAAAGTGGCACTGAGCTCTGTGTTATAAGGTACAAAAATGTGAAGCATACATGTACATGTGTATGTACATGTAATGGACTGGCCTTGAGGGAGATACCACATAATATTTCCCAAACTAGACTCATATTGCCCTGAATCAAAGACGAGGGCAATATGGTTCTTGTGAGGGAAATATATGTAGTATCTCCCGAAAGTTAAGCCAGTCAATATTGTTATTATTATCTAAATCTGACATCTAGAGCAAATACATACATGACAATCTCATAGAACTGAACAAGCTTTGTCAAACCAGCACTGTGCATCGAGCTGCTTGACAAAATTTTCGATACACTGCAAACAGTGTACCCAATTTGGTGTGATTATTACGTCACAATAGAGTACGCGCAAAGTGCGCAGGTTCTCGTACGCATAATAGATGCGCAATGAAATCGACAAAATACGGCGCGGTGAATATGGTCTTATATTTCATGCTTTTTTAACACGTAAAGTCCATAGGCTTTTTCATAAAAGGTAAATATGGTCTCATATTCCCCGATTAGCCCTTTTAGGATTACCAGCAAGTGTAATATAATTTTGTAAAACCACTGCTCAGATGTCTGATACGGGTAATAATAATTTACGTCGTCATAAAAAAAATGCTGTGATCAAGTCTGTGCACGTGCAAGCTTCTGACTTACGTTACTTAGTCAATTTTAATGATGAAGGCTCAATGTGACTTTGTGACTTGCTCATACAATTTCCCCTACAGGTGGATTACAAAATTACATGTAAAAGCAGACTGTATTGATTACACTAGTCTGCTTATAAATGTACAGTATGTAAAAAAACACAGGACATCATTCCTACCACAACAGGAAATACATGTATATCATCACCTCTTCTTGCTCATGTGAATTTGCCTTTTTATTCTGAATTCCGATTTTTCATTTCAATCTGAAAATAATTTGGTTACATTACAACACTCCTGGTGAAGTGAAATGAGTCGGACAGGGCGAGTGCATGGCATAATAAAAAAAAATAGCTGTTGCACATGAGCCTTACATGTAGATGCGTCAGGATATTTAATGTTAAATAATAAATATGGATGGTGGTAACCAAGTCCAGTCTGCTAGTGATTTTGGAAGGAAGGAATAATTGAAGGCATCTTTGTTTGAACTAATACATATAAGACTTATTATGTGATCTTCTAGTTGAACCGGTAATATGATGAAGCAGGTCTCGCCAGTGAAAAAAATACATCTTGGGGCGAAATAGCCCTCGAAATGTCCAAAAGAGTCCCCGAAAATCAGAAAAGAGCCCTGTAAATTTGCATGGAGTTCAATGCAAAACAAATTAAAGAGTGTTATTTTTATGCAAGCAAGCTTGAAAAGTAGCCCCCAAAATTTTAAAGTATTTTTTTCCCTGGGTCTTGCACTGGAACCAAGAGGTACCCTTCATGAGCTCCTCAAGTCTACTCCATCCAAGATCTCTGTACATGTAACACTATTTTGCCTGCCATAGTCATTGTTGATATGTATGGCAGCCAAGATAAATATGGCAGCCGAGTACTTTCTTCTTCTTCTTTTTCTTCATCTTATTCATGGTCTTCCACATTTTCTTATTTTTCTTTATCTTGTCATGTTCCTCTTTGTCTTTCTTCTTTCTCCTTTTCTCCATCTTCTTCTTCTTCCTCTTCTTCTTCTCCTCTTCCTCTTCATCTGATTTGTCATCCTTCATCTTTGTTCTTGTTCTTCCTCCTCCTCCTCCTCCTCCTCCTCCTCCTCCTCCTCCTCCTCCTCCTCCTCCTCCACCTCCTCCTCCTCCTCCTCCTCCTCCTCCTCCTCCTCCTCCTCCTCCTCCTCCTCCTCCACCACCTCCTCCTCCTCCTCCTCCTCCTCCTCCTCCTCCTCCTCCTCCTTCACCACCTCCTCCTCCTCTTCTTCTTCTTCTTCTTCTTCTTCTTCTTCTTCTTCTTCTTCTTCTTCTTCTTCTTCTTCTCTTCTTCTTCTTCTTCTTCTTCTTCTTCTTCTTCTTCTTCTTCTTCTTCTTCTTCTTCCTCTTCCTCTTCCTCTTCTTCTTCCTCCTCCTCCTCCTCCTCCTCCTCCTCCTCCTCCTCCTCCTCTTCTTCTTCTTCTTCTCCTCCATCTTATTTGTTATCCTCCATCTTTTTTCTTGTTCTTTTTCTTCCTCTTCTTCTTCTCATTTTTTTATATTATTTGTAATCTTCCATATAGTTTTTCCTCACCTTCCTTCTTCTGTTACTCTGAAAGTTCAGCATGGCAGTTTGATGGCACATTAAAAGAATTCATTATTTTCTTGCTTAATTAAATGTTTGATCTTCCTGATGGCATAAGAGACCATTACAATCGAAAATAATAATAGTCATAAAAACAAATAAACATGTTCTACCATCAATAACAAATCAAAACTGACTTTTATAACATGTAGAACTTTCCTTTACAATTATATTTACTTTCTAGCCAATGTTCAGGCCAAAGGCTTCAGTCTCTTTATATATTGACTGTTGCTAGTTTGCAACATGTACGATGTGACAGTGACTATGTTGTATGTCTGGTTCCACTGAATGCCTCCATACAGAGAAGGTTATAATTTTTTGTTTGTTAGTTTAAGTGTCCGGACACCCTCCCCCCTCGATCCCCCCCCAATCATTACTATGGTACCTACACTAGGCTTAGGTGCTGCATGAATCTTTATACCAAAAAAAAGGAGACAAATAAATTGTCAAGATAAAAAATCAAATAAACATAAAATTAGAATCTCTGAGAACATGAACAAAATATGCGATAGATTATCATAAAGTAATTTGTGATTTTAAAAATAACAGACATCTTCATGATCTTGTAGTTTCTATTTCTATATTTCTATTTCTATTCTGCTACTTGTCAAAGCCTGTTCAGCATCTAGACAAGGGTGATCTTCTGCCGACGGTGGACGGCTTGTGTGAATTTGTGCCGAAATATACAGTATACAGTCATGTATGTTTATGGTACAAGTAAAAATGTAACACTTTGGCTGCGTTCATGCTTAAATTTTGAAGGCAGAATGAGCGATCTGAAACGCTCATCGTAAACGCTCATCGTGATCGCAGTTCCACGATGTAGTGTTCATGCTTACTTCTCTGGCTCCCCAGGCAATTCTGCGTGTGTGGCCTTAATTGGTCTTCCAGCTGGATTCGCAAACCTTCACTGTGCATGCTACGCGGACCCACTAGAGGTCAGTGCGTTGACCCCATTTAAACGCGTTTACAAATTGTAAACGCATCTTTTTGTGAGTTTACGATCGGCGATCGTGATCGCCGTTTTTCGGTGATTCTACAAAAGTGAGCTAAGACGCAACCGTGTTTTAAACTAAACGCGTAACAGATGCCTGATTCTAGCCGTCAAAATCAAGCATGAACGCGCCCTTTGTTAGTTACCTCTGACATCTAGATCTATAAAACCAAATAAACAATTATAATATCATCCTAATAATTTATTGAATAAATAAAATCAAAGCATAGTATATTAGTAACTAGACCGAAAACTTCAGTCTCTCTAATCGTCGGTTGTTCCACTGAGACTACGTCTGGCTCCACTAGACCTCCGATTATAGAGACTGAAGTACGGCCTATGGGGACCGTGAGGGTAGAGTGACCGAACAGAGATGAACGAAATGCTCCGAGGTATTTCTCTTTTTACGTCTTCATCAAATCTAATTTTGCTGCCATTCTACAGCCCCCGTTATCTATACAATAACAAAAAACTTAAATATATACTTTGACTTACGATAGCTTGCTTATTCAGCTCCAAAATTAATGATTAGAGTCTAATCCGAGAAAGTCTCGTAGTCGTTGTCAGCCTTCTTGGTTTTAGTTGATGAATATTAATTTTTTTCTTTGTGAACGTCCAATAGCTACCGTAGCTACATGTATGTACAAGTCAGCCCGACTTGATCTACGAAACGAGTGCTCTGATTGGCCATTGGCTATGTTTTGGTAGGTTGACCCGGAAATATATCGGCCGCCGGGTCATATAGCTCTAGGCCTATAGAGTCTATGTTCGAGTGCATGAACGTACGGTTACACAGTTCTGAGACGAAAATGGGACAATTCGTATAAGTAAGTCTATAATTTTCATATTTGTATAAGATTTCAATTAAAAATATGTAGTGTAAATAGCAGAACACTACTTATACCTATTTTACATCTGATTTAGAAATCAGAAAATTAGATCTAGACCCTCTAAATAAAGAAAATCGGGGGAGAAATGTCGGGAACAAAAAGATGTTCCGCTGTGCCCTCGATTACCCACACGGTACGAGATCTCTGGGTCACCGTCTGTATTGGGGAATGTCAACAAATGTCAGTTTTATTAAAGAAATGACCCAAATCAGACGGTTATTTCTGTCTAATTAGTAACAAACTGAACAAAAAGAGAAATGTTGATGTTGGCTTTGTTGCATCTCAAAAAAAAAAAAAAAAATGAACGTAAAATTAAAGGGCGTTTCTCCCAAGAACAAGTCTTTTCAACGCTGTAATCATGTGCTTGAAAGTAGTCAGGAATTTTTGATCATGTCATAACAGCTGACCACTTGTCTATTTGAAAAATTTTGTCGATCGTTTATCAACAATCATGACAATGGTATTCATTGCACTCCATGCAGCTGGAATGCCTCAACAAAAGCCCACACGTCCATTTTTACGTCATGTTTACAACCTTGCACCACCCATTAACACAGACACACTGCAAACGTCAAACAGACTCGAACACTTACCTCCAACTACGACTAACTTATACTCCGTCATTCTCGAATCTCTTGGCAGCTCTCCGCCCGGGAAATGGCACCAGCAGTGTGAGAAACTAGGCCCAGAAGCTAGATTTTCTAGTCTAAAATCTCCAAATCAAAGAAGAAACAAAACTCGCTGATGTAAACATAAGGGCTGTGACTACAAAAAATCACATAGCGATCCGAGATTTATGATCGTGAACACACACACACACAGTACATATCGCTGAATACATTGTGGTCTTTATATACGACGCCCTAAATGTGAAATATCTCTCAAAGCTGCAGTATCTAAAAATAGCTCACGGTCGGTTACTGGGAATTTCTAGTCTTTTAGAAGACAATTTTATAAACATTTGGTACAAGATTATCAATATTTCACCACACAAAGACTCTCTTATTATACTAGTGCACCATATAGACAATTTATATTCTATGAAGCTATTCAATGAATTTTGCATTGTAGAATATGACTGAAAATACATTTTATACCAATTGGAAATCGAAATATTCGTTATAAAGGCTAGCTGAACTGTTGAAGCTTGGCAAAAGATGGCGATAAACATAAAATAAATATGGGTCACATACCTTCATGGACAATTATGGCAGAAAAAATATTCATATTACACAATTTACCCAAATCTTACATATTGTTTATTACTATAATCATATAGTTGATAGATTTGTTTCGTGGCAATGCTATGCGTGAAACAGATTCAAGGCTTTTTTTGTATGTCACAATTAAATCAAAGAAAAATGCTCATTGAGGATATATAATTAATTCGATCTTGAAAAAATAAAAAATAAATTCTCATACTTTATAACTCATACTGGATTTAAAGAAGAGTTATTCATGTGATTTCTTTTCATTTTACACATTTCAAGTGTTATTAATTGGCAAATCATGCGATATGCTTATACTGCAATATCAGCTAAACCTGTCTCATATAATACCTCGATCTCTTTATAGAGGCCTCTGTCATATTGTCGCCTTGTATTTTGTCTCCCTCGACTAGCAAGAATGGTACAGTCAAACCTGTCTATAGCGACCGCCCAAGGGAAACACAAAAAGTGGCCATTGTATATAGACAGGTGGTCTTTGTAGACAGGTTCCTCTAGTACATGATTCAACGATCGAGAAACCATTTTCAAGGGAAACAACAAACGGGCCTTTGTAGACAGGTGGTCTTTGTAGACAGGTGGTCACTACAGCAGGTTTGACTGTATATTGAAAAACCTGTCTAGCGGCCAAGTGTACCTGTCTCCATCAGTGGCCATCAAATTATCTGATTCCCTTGAGAGGTCTTTAAAAGACAGGTTTGACAGTATCATCTTTTATAAGTATCAGAACACTGAAATCTGAAGGGGATTAAATATGGGGTGAACTATATCACCTGTATAATTATAAAGGCTATAGCTGCTCAAGGAAAACGTGAAAAGTGGTCTTTATAGACAGGTGGCGTGTAAACAAAGTTGGTCGCTAAAGTAGGTTTCCCTTTATATTATATAGTTAAACACGCTTCAACTTTATATTATCTATGCAAACGATATGACCTTGATTGTGTGGTTGTCACATTCGGCGTTTCTTTCTTTCTTCTCCTTTTGATGAAAATGAATGCAGCTATATAGTACTGCCGATTGTAGACCTAGTTATCGTTGACCGTTATAACAAGTCAAAATATTGTCCGAGCAAGAGAGAGAGAGAGAGAGAGAGAGAGAGAGAGAGAGGGGGAGATTGGAGCTCAGGAGTGATGAGAGAGAAGAGAGAGAGAGAGAGAGAGAGAGAGAGAGAGAGAGAGAGAGGAAGTGAAGGGGAGATTGGAGCTCAGGAGTGATGAGATATGTATATATATATATATATATATATATATAGAGAGAGAGAGAGAGAGAGAGAGAGAGAGAGAGAGGGAGAGATGAGAAAGAGCAGTTTCGTATGGAATCGAAAGAGAGAAAAAGAGATACCGTATGGCTATAGTTCAAGGCTCGAAAGGGATATCGGTTTTGTTTTGATATTTAGATTAAAAAGGCTTTCTGATATTTATTTTTTGTGGGGGGGGGGGGGGGGATGGGGCCTTTTATTGTATCGATCTGTAGGCCGAACGAAAACAAAATTCCTTCGTTTCATAAAAGGCTGAGCCCATATATTTTAATTTTGCTTTAACGAATCGACAGCAACTCTCTTAGTCTTACGGGTATCCGAAAAGACAATTATAACACTGTTATGTACAGCCTCATTAATTAGCGACTCATTGTGACGTCATAAAGGCTTATTGTCATAATTGATTGGATGACGTCATCCGCGCGCTATCAAGCGCGCATTTTCGATATTTGTCAATATAAAAACCGCAATGCATTATGGGAATACCTCAAGGCTGTCGATCAAACGATGAAGATGAAAAGATTAATGGAATAATTTATCATAATTGTAGCACCTATGAATAAATTATTTGACACTGGCCTAATTGTGGAAACATTTTTTTTTTCACGCAGTAAGTGTAACTGGGCAAATTCCAAAATAGATATGGATGCATTATCGCACGTTGCTTATTTGCATTGCAAATTAAATGATGGGACCAATAATTATTAATCAAAACGAATATGTTTTTCATGCAGTGGGTTAAACCTCCATGATGGACAACACAGACAACCGCAATTAGACGTTTCAGCTGTATACAATTAGATTCAAGCAACGCAAGCCCCAACAAATCTATGATGTGCGCCTTTTTCCTCAGAGATTAAGAATTTCTTGTAATAATTTTATTACGTTTAAAGTGTATTTGTATAGTTACCAAGAAAAAAATGAATATGTTCATACATTTTTGTTCATACTTTCTGTAATTATACATGTATTACTTTTGTTTATCTTTCTGTTGGAAATGAAATAAATATGAATTGAATTGAATATGCTTCTGTAATTTATATCATTCTTAAAATTCTTCTTATTCCCTCTTTATTATTCTTTCTTATGACTTTTCTGAATCGTTTCATTATCCTCAATATAATCATCATCATCCTCCTCCTCAGCAACATAATCATCGTCACCATCATTATCATCCTCACGTTTGACCTGTACAACCTCTACAACAAAACTCCATCATAGATTAGAGAAGGAATACGCATTGCACTCCACATGGTCTTTAGAGTAATAATATAGAATGATGACAAAAGTGTTGAGCCAATTATCATTTTATTGCTAAAATAGAAGAATTATGTGTCAAACGCAAAATCACAACATTAATTGAATGAAGCAATTTCAAAAGTGAATAGAATTAGAATAAACATAATGATACATTTATATTCATATGACATACCCTGATTAATTCACTAATTAAGTAAGTTAGTACAAAGTTTGCATTAAATGCATTTCTTCAAGATTTGCCCTCAACACTGACATTATTATATCAAAATATACATCACAATGCCATAACAAATTTATATCGCATTATGTTTTGTTTAATACAAAATAACATTTAGAATGTACCAATTGTAAAAGTTAACAAAATTAGAATAAAAACAATAATACACTAACATGTAAATAATACTACTACTAATAATAGTGGCTACTTGTATAGTGCCCAGGCCCATCTTTCAGTGCTCATGACATTACATCATTAAAGTTGGCATTAAATGCATTTCTTCAGGATGTGACCTTTAAAAATGCCAATTACATATCTTTATTGCATAATCTTTTGCTTAATACAAAACAACGTTTGAAATGTAGCATTTCTAAAAACAAACATAATTAGAATAAATGATACATGTATACAATTTTACATTCCAACAACATGACATTTATTACAAAATCTTGATTTCATTAAGTTTAAAATAATGTTATTATTATTCTGTAAGAAGTACGCCATATATTTTGGCACACTGGGATAGTTTCCTCTAAAAAAATCCTATAAATATGTTGTACTAAGTTGTACAGACCATGCCTCCGAGACAATTGCTCTACATCTGGCCTTGTTTCATAAAACTTGTTATCAATAACAAGTCACAATAACTGTTATAAGCTACTGAAATCATTTCATTTGATTGGCTGAGAGCAAATTTGTTATTGATAACAATTTTTATGAAACAGGGCCAAGGACCCTACACTATACCTAACCCCAATCCCAATCTACATCCCAAATGCATACCTAACAATAAATTTCAACCCTAATACGTTTGCCAAAATGCACCAGTGGACAATCGTCTCAGGGACAAATATTGCACCATTGTATGTTTATTTTTTCTTCTTCAATCAATGATTTTAGAGTTGTAAAATACCCTGAAAATAATACAGCACAGTTGTGTTCATACAATAAGTGTTTATAATGTGAAAGTTTGGGTATATGCTTCTACAAATGGATTAAACCAAACTCGTTTGATGAAATTTTTATGCTACTTTCTGGTTGTGCTCACAAACATATTTCTTATCTACAACATATCGCCACTATTTCATGAGTTGAAGTATCGCCAGTTCACAATTAGTACACGGTAAGGATGGCCCACTGAAACATGCATAAATATTTTAACCCTTTGTTTGCCACCATTGCCAAAAGGCACCAGTCACTTGTTTGCCACACATGCAGATCGGCACAAAACAATAGCCATCAATTCATTTAAGAATGAAGCTTTACATAATTACGGTCTTTAAGGACAGGTTCCTTTAGTACATGTTTCAATGAGAAACAATTTTCAAGGCAAAAAAAAAAAAAGTGGTCTTTGTAGACAGGTGGTCATTATAAAGCAGGTTTGACTGTATCCAATTGTATTCAAACTATCACCTGCCTATTTCCCCAATATCCCTGCCTTCCAAGACAAACAATTAAGGATTGATTTATAATCAATTTGCTCATTAAAAAAATAGATATATAAAAATAAAGATTATTATAATTGCATGTATCATAACAGAGAGAGTTGTAGTGATGAGTGACATATATAAACAAATCGTCCCTATTTTCACGAAGTGACGGTAGTGAATGAGGCCGCCATCCATCTCCAGCCTAACCGCTCACGATGGTGGTCTCCTGCGTTCCAAATTACCTCTCTAATTTATTGAAAATATTTTATATTTCTTATGTTATTGTATGCTTCGTACATGTTTATCGAATGATATAATTGTACATGATTTTTCATTCAATTACTTTTGTAAACATTGTATTCATTGTATTTGTTATTGTTCGAAATTTTGTACTTTGACTTTGAATTTGTATATTTTTGAACGCAGAAATAAAATCAATCAAACAAACAAACAAAATTGCATACAATGTGAATGCAGATTTTCCTCACTACCGTCACTTCGTGAAAACAGGAATGAAATATCAAATGGGTTCATTACTGACCACATCTAAGATTTCAATATATATCTCATGACTTTAACAAGCTGATATCCCTTCTAGAGCTTGAATCAGGCAATACATCAAAGGATATATTACTACGGTAAGTCATTAATGTTTATAATGCCACAATTAGGGAGAGAGAGACAGAGAGAACAAGATGTAATACATAGAAAGAAAGAGACAAAGAGTTGAGGGGAGGCCTGGAGGGAGGGAAAAGAGAGGGAGAGAGAGAGAGAGAGAAACGTGACTGAGAAAGGAAGCATTAAATTAAAACGACATAATTTTACACAAATCTATTATTTCAGATAATCACATCAAACAATGTATACACAAAGAAGACAACTGCATCTATACAAGCAATTTATATGATTTGATCATAACAATCTTAATCATTTTGCAGAAAGTTCAATTTTTCAGGAATTATTTTGTTCAGACGTCGCCTTCAGGTTAATCTTGCAACCTAAAACGGTCTGATCTGAGATTGTTTAATTGCACATTTCATGTGTTGTAACCACCTTTAGAGTTTGCAAGGGAAACAAGAAGAAGAATGTGATATTCTTGCTCATCTCCATTGCATGAAGACTGGCCATTAAGATAGAAAAACCTGTAAAGAAAATAAGAGAGAAGATGAGAAAGACATAATACTGCAATTATGGAATTTGGTGCAAATCTCTTATCATTGATTATCATAATTCATGGAAATTGCATTCCATAGAAATTCTTTAATGGAACATGTATCTTCTTTCTTCTTCTCTTCCTTTATCCTCTCCGTGTTCTTATTTGCCTTCTTCTTCTTTTCTTTTGACCAATTCCTTTTCTTCTTCTTCTTCTACTCCTTCTTCTTCTTTTCCTTCTCCTCATTCTTCTTCTTCTTCTTCTTCTTCTTCTTCTTCTTCTTCTTCTTCTTCTTCTCCTCCTCCTCCTTCTCCTTCTTCTTCTTCTTTTTTTCTTCTTCTTCTTCTTCTTCTTCTTCTTCTTCTCCTCCTCCTTCTCCTTCTTCTTCTTCTTCTTCTTCTTCTTCTTCTTCTTCTTCTTCTCCTCCTCCTCCTCCTCCTTCTCCTTCTTCTTCTTCTTCTTCTTCTTCTTCTTCTTCTTCTTCTTCTTCTCCTCCTCCTCCTCCTTCTCCTTCTTCTTTTTCTTTTTCTTCTTCTTCTTCTTCTTTTTCTTCTCCTCCTCCTTCTCTTCTCTTGTCTTCTTCATTCTTCATCTATTAAATGCATAATCAATGAATTACCTTGTAAAGCACAGCTAGTAGCACCACGACTACGGCCACTCGAAGGAACATAGACATGGTCCTATTCTTGAGTTTCTTTCTCAGTGCCCAGGCAATGATGGATGTCTTACGATCCGTGAATGGTGCGTAGAATAACCTGAAGGAAGAAAAAAGTCATAGAGATACTCTATTCTTATAGAGATGTTGCAGTCAATAATAATAATAATAATAGTCTGTTCTTTTATAGCGCATTTCAGGACCGAAGGCCCTCTCAAAGCGCTTTACAATGTACAATGTACGTTCACATAATAATTACTCGAAGCATTCATCTAAAAGGTGAGTTTGCAGCGCTCTCTTAAAAACGTCAACATCAGTCATGGAGCGTAGCGACACTGGGAGAGCGTTCCAAAGTTTTGGTCCACCACATGCAAATGCCTGTCACCATAGGTTTTTGTGGCTCCATGATTGAGGGTGAGAAGGTGTTGAGAAGATGACCACAAACGCCTTGGTGGTATGTACGGTGGATATGTCACCCGGACTGTGGATCACAAGGTCCAGGGTTCGAATCCACCCGCTGCACTAATGTCCTTTGGCAAGACATTAATCTACATTTGCCACACTCGACCCAGGTGAGGTAAATGGGTACCTGGTAGGATTATTTCTTGACATGCACTGTGTGCTGATAACGGCTGCCGGAGCTAAAGGTAGGGTAATCATTTCCAAAGCTCTTTGGAATTGCATAGGGATGCTATGCAATAACAGATTATTATTATATTTTATTATCATCGAGTGGAACGCAGAACATGAGTTTGTTTGATTCATGCTTCGACATGAAACGATAGATGTCTTATGGTCTTATGAAAGGGGCGTAGTAACGGTTGAAACGAGAAACCGCAAATACATGTATGTTGAATTCTTGAGTTGGAAGAAAGTAAACAAAGTTGTATGATATTTGCTGCAGGATGTAATTATAGGGTTCCTATAGCTGGTGAAATGGGTTTATTGCATTTGTGTATGAAAAGCAGGTGAACTGTACAATAAAAATAATAATATTTGGTTCTTGTATAGCGTGTATCACATTATACATCTCTATGCACTTCCAAAGAACTTTGGAAATTATTAACCTAGCTTTAGCTCCGGCAATCGTAAATCTCAGCGCACAGTGCATTTCAAGGAATAATCCTACGAGGTACCCATTTATCTCACCTGGGTCGAGTGTGGCAATTGTAGATTAATATCTTGCCAAAGGACATTAGTGCTGCGGCGGGACTCAAACCGCGGACCTTGTGATCGACAGTCCGGTGACATATCCACTCGTCCACGACACCTCTACTACACATGTTCCAGCGATTACTGTTCTCCTGTCAATTTGTTATAATAGCCTAATTCCTAACATTAATTTGGGATCGAAGATACATGTAATAAACCCCTCAAAAATAGTTTGGAAACTCAAGTTTGATTGAATATAACACTTTGTTTAGTATCATTATTAGAAAGTTATTGGTTCCTCTTTAAAGCCTATCTGTACTAGTTTGGCTGGGAGGGGTTAGACCTCCATGCATGGTCACTGACAGGTGGTTATCTCATCAAATAAGCTCTCTATTAACTACATAAGAAAAAGGGGACCATGGGGGACCAAGGGTCACCACTTAGGCATTGTTTGCTATATAGAGGGTGCAAGTAGCTATAAGTTGGGCAGTGGGGCTTTAAAACAGTATCCTTTATGTTATGTTTTGCAGCCATGGAATTACACATTATTCTCCTTTGCTCTACATCATTCTTGCTTATGATAGTTGGCCTCTGCATTTATCTGGATTATTTTAACTTACCTCCATACTTTCAAGCTTTCAATGATATATATATATATATATATATGCATTTTATTTGTGTGTTTTTAAGTTGTAACTCTTTATGTAAATCAATTATATTGTATACTATTATTATTATTTGAATGTTTTATATTTGATTTATCAATAAATGCAGAAACATCTGCACAAAAAAAAAAATAAATAAAATAAATAAAATAAAATAAAATAAAATCATTATCACCCACCTTCGGACCAGTTCAGATACGGTGTACATGGGGTCTACCATACATGCCTTGCGATGCGAGAAAGCCTCGTATGTGAACCTGCCGTGATAATTCCCTGTGCCACTGTTCCCTATGCCTCCAAATGGCAGAGTCTCAACTGAAAACGAGAAAGGAATATACACTCAGCAAAACAAGAAAAGAAAGTGGACACTCTTTATTGTATATAATAAAATCGAAGAAAATTAGTACTCTACCAACACCACTTAAAGATGAAGTTGAGTTCTGGTCATGCGATTGCATTGTGAAAGAAACGGTGTGGAACCGACCAGAAAAGGTTGATCATCTATCATATAAGAATTTGTGTGTATTGCAAGGTTCTGGAATCATCAAAATGATAAGAAATTTTGGCCAAGTCTTGGTAAAGTTACAAACACTTGCACAGAAGGATGTATATGGGACTTCACGAACACGTGGCGTAAAAAGCCGCCCCCCCCCCACGATTTTTACGATGTTACATGCATATAGAATATGAAGGCATTTGGAGAGCCATGCTTTTCAGGGAACATGTCTTAACTCATGTTCTTCCACACTTGCATAATAAGAATGAGTAATGCTCACAAATTATTTTTCACCTCTTCCCAGAACTCAACCCTCTCTTTAAGATCAAGTTTTGAACTTTCACGTTTGGATGAGCACTTTCATTTAAAGCGTATCTGCACTATTTTGGCCAGGAGGGATTAGACCACATGGCGAGGTCACTGACAGGTGGTTATCTCATCCAATCAACTCTCAATTAACATGAGAAAAAGGGGACCATGTGTGACCAACAGGCACCGATTAGGCATTGTTTGCTATATAGAGGGTGCAAGTAGCTATAAATAGTGCAGTGGGGCTTTAACCATTAAAAGGTGTGTTGAAAATAAGTGCAAAAATACAGCAAGTATCCATTCAGTGTACTGATCATGTCTGAATAAAGGACTGGAGTCGACTCAGACCGACGTCAAGTCTCATTAATTGCAAAGACTGCATTATAAAAGCAAACTCGGCTTACCCCCTCCCTGTACGAAGCACTCGTTGCCGCTGAACATCCCACTCGAGGTCTGGTTACGGAATTGATCTATGACACCCCTGTCACTGGAGAAGACGTACAGAGCAAGAGGCTTCTCCCTGTAAGAAGAAGAAAAAAAAATTATTCATCGACCCTCATTATTTATTAATTTACTCCTGATGTCCTATCCTTTTCATCATTGTCAATGTGTAATACCAGAATATAAGAATATTTCTATCTTGTCTATCTTTTATTTTGATGGTTCTTCTATGATTATAAACACGACGATATAGTTTTCAATATACACATTACGTATTTGTACAATGTGTGACTAAATTTTTTTTTCATGTATTCTTGCGATTTTGAATAAATAAAAAGAATTGAATTGAATTGAATTGAATACGTCATTATTTTTCCTTTTTGTTCAGTCAATTGGTTTATTACCCCTTATAAAATATGACATCTAAATGTATTCTTGTTTTTTCAATTGTTGAGAAGACGCGATGGATTACAGGCAGAGCAGTGGTCTCTAACTTGGAGGTCTGGGGTTCGAAACCTAGACAAAATGCTTGTGTCCTATGGTAAGGCATTAATCCTCATTACCAAGTCTCTTGAAAAAGACTTCTCCTTCGTTCAATTGGTTGCTTATTTACAAGCATTGAAGTGTTTTCTTTTTTAGCAGCCAGGTAAAAAAAAACAATAAATCTTCTGTATTATTCTTTTAAACAACAAAATGCAATCTTTAAGTATATTTGCTCTTCATGAATATTCTTTTAGTCACATTTAAATTTTGCTAGAAAAGCCTAGCTCCACTAAAGAATTTTTAAAATGTTGCCAAACTTGTAAAATATAAATTATCATATCAACCTGCTATTGATGTAACGAATGGCTTCCTCTGCACTATCCAGGTTCAAGATAGGCCAAACAGGACCAAAAATCTAAAATGTATTAATCACATCAAAATGATATATAAGGGCTAGTCTAACAAATTTTCCCAAATAAACATGAGAAAACTTTATAAAGAGAGACCTCAATAATAACAAGAGGCATTTGCACTGTGCTATCTATTAATTTATTTGTCCTGATTTATGTTTCTTGAGAGTGTGACATATTCAAGCTTTAATCAAAGGCCTTAATTCAACCAGTCCACAATTCCTTCTTGAATTTATACAACAATAAAATAAAAGTATCAATTTAGAAGGGGTAAAAATGATCTGGTTGTTAAACGGGTTCTAGAAATTCTAATCCGAGTCGCACAAATTTTGAAATGCTATGCCAAAGCACGGACAGCTGATTTTCTTCCGGCAGTTTTGACACATTCATAGTGATGACAATACATTTATACACACCTCTCAAAGGTCAAGATTGATGTAACACAAATCATATTAACATAATGACAAATAAAACAACAACAATAAAGTAAGAAAATAGCAAGAATAATAAAATGAAAGGAGTATACATATGAAAATATAACCAAATAACAAATATTAAAATGTATGGTACAAAAAGTAGTAACAAAAAGTCAGAGTAATTTAAATAAAATAGGAAAAGGATAGCAAGAGATAAATAAATTAGAAACAGGAAAAAAGAAAGAAGAGAAAAGAGGGTTATCTAAGCGACAAAACGGAAAAAGAGAAAGGATTAAAGTGGATAGAGAGAGAAAAAAGAACCCAGTGATAAACAAAGGACATAATTATAAAGTGCAAATAAATTCTTGCCAACTTGAGGATAACCACCATATGAACTGATTCTTACTTCATCTTGCATGATCCTGTCTGTATCCTTGGCATTAACGACCACAGTGGGTGCGATGTAGAGATCATCTTCATCAGACTCTCCTCCGATCACTATCTCTTGTCCGTCTAGGAGGGCGCAAACACGTCTGGAGAGGAGTATGCAAAGATATTTACAGTGCGTCCCAGAAAAAACGAAATCGAGAATTATTGATGTTTTATCATAACTTAATCACATTAAGGAAGGTGGGGGGGATGGACAAATACCTGTGACTCACTTGAAATGCCTGACGTTGACCATCCTGCCGTAGTCTTTGGACTTCTTGGGGTTATCACCAAAGAATTCCTTGAGCGCCTTCTTCAGGCTCGAGACCACCCTGTCCGTCTGGTCCCTGTGGCAGATGATGAAGTCAGGCGCAACGCAGGTCTGGCCAGAGTTATAGAACTTGGCTGAAGCAGTGCGATGGATGGCAACATCAATGTCACAGTTGGAGCCAATGTAGAAGGGGCTGTTGAGGGAATAGATTTATAAGTTTGAAATGGGGTCCAGTATTGAATTCCGGTACAACTCAGGTTTGGCCAGAGTTGTAGAACTTGGCTGAAGCGGTGCGGTGGATGGCAACATCAATGTCACAGTTGGAGCCAATGTAGAGGAGGCTGTTGAGGGAACAGTGGTATTGGTAATGAAGACAGTATAGACAATAGATATCACTTGTGATTAACAGCCTATCCATCACCTAACCCATACACAATACATCCATCCATGTATCTGTCGCTTAATCAGCCATCTCTACGTCCATCCATCTATCTAATGCGTCTTATTCTTTTGTTAGTTTTATACTGTTTTTATTTTTGCTTGTGAGCTTTGGTGATTTTCATTATTTATATTTACGTGTATTAGATTTTTTTTCTGTTCGGGACCAGCATGTAAAACAGATTTTGTATCTACAATGTATATCCTGATTAAATATATTTCAATAAAAAATATAACAAAAATATCTATCCATGTATCAATCAAGACATTCTATGATCCTTTAATCCCTCTCTTCATCCTTACAATTTGTGTGTATCTGGGTTTTAACAAACATATGTGAATCAGATATGATTATTAACGTCTGCTCACCAATCTTCAAAATTTACCATCCAAAAGTTTTGAACTGTAGTCGGCTTGGGTCAGTTTGTAGGCAAAGACAGAGAGCTGACCAAGTGGTCTTACCGCTAGACCAACTTACATTTATCTATCCAACCACCAATCAATCTGTCTATCCATCTCTCCACGAATCTGTTGTTGTATCCCTCTATCCATCCATCCACATATCCATCCATCCATCCACCCACTCATCCATCTTACCACTTTCCTCCCAGTTCCAGAGTAACCGAAGTAAGATGTTTAGCCGCAGCCGTCTGTACAATCTTCCCTACCGTGCTGTTGCCAGTATAGAAGATATGATCAAACCGCTGCTCTAGAAGGGCCGTCGTCACAACGGCATCACCATTAATCACTGGGAAACAGCTCTGTAAGCAAACAAGAGTCAAAAGAATTTATAGTGAAACTAAATTGCAGACAAATTGGATTATACTCTTTAATAATGATGATGATAGCCTCTTGGTGCTTCTCTACAATGTCAATATCTCACAAATTCAATAGTCTTGGTCAGTGTTTCAAATTTAGATTATTTTCCATAAGTCTTTGTTGGCATTATTACCATTGATGCACCACCATAGCCAACAATTATGGTCTAAATACGTCTTTTGTGGCAATAGGCCTACATGTTAGAGCTACAGTGTACCTAAGAATTTGGAATGATGTTTATGTTTGGAATTAGAATTGTGTATTATGCGGTTTTAAACCTTAAACAAAAAAGAAGACATAAATTGTCCTCCAACTAAATTTGTACTTCCTGCACTTTCACCCCTCTCTTTATCTCTTCATCACAGCCATCACCGTTTCACGCTCTATTTACCGTCTCCTCCTGTTATCTTCTCATACATCTCATGTCACTCCCACCCAAACATCATTTTTGTATACAGGAATGATTAAATTTAATAAAGGAATACCACCCCTTCAAGCTTAGCTTTGTCCTCCTATAGTAATGCCTATCATTATTAATTATTATTAGCTTTAATATGTGGCGATTCTTCTTCATTACTATTTTATGTTAATATCAGTGAGAATGTAAGTACTTTTAAAGGTAAAGACCAGTATTGGAAATGCCCCAATTTCAAAAAATGAAATGGAAGCTCTCATTATCAATCATGTGAAAGAATATGTTTTGACTAATACATGATAAAAGTTTGCCGGGAAACCGCCTACTAATTCATATATTTGGTAAATTTGTTTCTCTCATGGTCTGTGAGAGATATAGGGTAGTCCCATATACATCTTTCTGTGTATAGTGCTTGTAACTTTACGAAGAATGGGCCAAATTTCTTATCATTTTGATGATTCCAGAACCTTGCAGATGCTAGATGCTAGATGATCAACCTTTTCTGATCGATTCCACAACGTTTCTTTCACAATGCAATCGCATGACCATAACTGGTCTTTACCTTTAATACTTTGATTATGTACTAATGAGATATATCATGATTATGTTGTAATCTGCCATTTTGGATAAACAAAACAAAGAGAAAGAAATGAATTCAATAAAATTGAATCAAATAAAAACTGCAATCCTACCCCCATATCTGTTTCTTTTTTTTATTGGTTGCCACTGAATGATGTAATACTCACACTGTCCATGTACTTGGGAAAGAGTTCTTCAAAGAGTTTAGCAGTCGCTGGGCTTATTTCAGATGGTTTGATAACAGCTGTATTACCTAGAGATAAAACAGAGAAGACAACTTTGATTTTTTTTTTTAAACTCTTCAATATTACAACCGATGATCATACAAGTTAGATCATTGCTTTAATAATTAGGACCAGAAAGCACAAAAATTAGGACCACAACGCGATTATACTGAATTGCCTACCAGTATATTTTATAGAAACTTATAGTTTGGTCATAAATTATCTTTAATATTTTGAGCTCCCTATAATGCCAGTCTCTTTTTCTCTTTAAGGCCCTTTTACACTTTCACGGATCGCATCACGGATCGCATCACGGATCATCCCGGATCGTCGCTCCGGGATCATCCGTGTTATCTCAGGCATTACCGTGTATACACCGGGGAGGCATCCGGCGTGATCCTTGGCGTACCGGCATATCCGGGGAAAAAATTAAGCTTGCTTAATTTTTCATCCCGGAGTTCACGGATGAGACAATCCGTCCTCTTCCCTGTAGGCACCGTGTACCTCCGTGTAGCCGCCGAATACATCCGGGACAGTCCGTGTAGACACCGGGAGGTCCGTATTAACACCAGTTTCATCCGGGTTTGAAATTCCGTATATCAAATAATAATAATTATAATAATAATAACAATATTTATAAAGCGCAACATATCCATCTCTAGAGATGCTCAAGGCGCATAAAAATAATTTAAATTAATATTTAACATACTTAAGATTAAAGAAATATTAAATGTTAACTTGCATTAGATCATACAAATTCATGGTGCCAAGGTACATACAATGTGGCACAGTGTTATTGTTTGTTTTGCATGCTCAAGTCACCCGTCAACATTCCGGAGATATCCCATTAGACAACGTACACCTCCGTGTAAGGACCGTAGCCCAGCACCCAGTAGCCTCCGTGCTCTTCCTTGAAATCCGTCTTAGCTCCATATGCGTTTCCGGCGTGGTCCGCGTTGCTACCTTGTCTGTCCGTGGAGACACCTTACTTGCCCGTGTATACACCAAATTCGGAACATATCCACACCGGCATCGAGAAGAAATCGTGGTGTCGCACGCCGGAACACCCCGGATTAAGATCCCGGATGATCCGTGATGCGATCCGTGAAAGTGTAAAAGGGCCTTTAAGGCATAACAAAAAAGATGTTGCATTGCCCTTTGCAACCGATTCAAAAATCTTAAAATCTACTGTCGGCTTTTTAATAAAAATTAAACAGTGTTTTAGAAGAACAAAAGTTTAATAAAATATTTTTGTTGGTTTAAATTGGATATAAATGAACGAAGTCAACAAATTATTCCCAAATTTTCTTTCGTCTTCTGCCCTCGTTTCTTAATCCTGTTAGCCTAAAAAAATATACCCCGGCCTCGTGTACGTGTATATATCGCTGCACTAGCTAGAAGCCAGAGAGATTTGGGGGCATTGAGGGAAAAAAGAATAAAGAGAAGAAAATGATATCTGACCGACCAACCCAGGTTCTGGCACCTAAAGGGCAACACAACATCATTTTTTTTAGGCCTAATCGTCTCACCTGCCGCTATGGCTCCTATGAGTGGGTGTATAGGCAACTGAAAGGGATAGTTCCAGGCTCCGATAATTAGCACCACTCCTAGTGGGTCTCTCTGGATGTAGCACTGTTTGCCAACTCCTGCAAAGGGGATAGCAACCTATGGGAAAAAGAGAAAAGATAATAGAGCAGTTCATGTCGCAAGAGAATGTTTGGGAAATAGTGGTCCGTTACTGGTCTAGGGCTGCAGTTTCTCGGAATTTATTTAGGGATAGGGATAGGGATGCCATGATGTTAAGGTATAGCATAGAGTGGTGAAGTGTGACGTCATCAAAAATCTATTTTTAGAATTTCTCAATTTTTTTCTTCATATACCGAAAGAACACCAAAAATAATGTCCAAATGTAGAAAACCAATTGAATATGTTAAATATTGGCCGAGTTATGACCATCCGAATGAATATATGTCCTATGGGAACTCAGTGTTATATGCTCTGGCTCCTAACCATTAGGAGCCAGAGCATATAACACTGAGTTCCTATAGGGAGTATCTTTATTCAGATGGTCATATCTCAGCCAATATTTAACATATTCAATTGGTTTTCGACATTTGGACATTATTTTTGATGTTCTTTCGGAAAATGAAGAAAAAATTTAGAAATTCTAAAAATAGATTTTTATGACGTCACAGCTTCGTTACTCTATTGGGTACAGGGTTGGGAATCAGTTAGGAAGGACATTTCATTTCATTCATTTTTTTCCTCATCAAGATCAAAACAATACTATTTAATCTTCAAAATGCAAACCTATATAATGAGATATCTAAAGTGTGAGGATCATGAAAAGCACATAAAATGCTTATTAAAAGTGATCAACATTAAAATTATAATCGTGGAGATGAAATACCTGTAATCTCTAAGAAAGGTGTGATATTAAGAAGTACTAATTTCTGAAAGTGATAATTCCTATAATTCTATGATTGTTAAAAGCATGGGAGAGTTTTCCATGTAAAAAACAAACAACAAACATTTGTTAATGATTTATATCATTTAGACTTATAGACTGTACTATCTTCTCCGGTTTCATCTATTGTTTGAATTCATAGAAGATAAAAACACATTGAGACTTAAGTTTACCTCAAAGTCAATGCTTATGAATTCTACTACCGATACCACCACCCCCACCACCACCACCACCACCACCACTGCTACTACTATCACTACTACCTTCTCTGGTTTCATCCATTGTTTGAGTTCATTGATGGCTAGGACACAATCATTATGACAGAAGTCTACTTCAAAGGTGACGGCTTCAAACTCGGGCTGTGTGCGAAGAGGAGAAATACATACAGAGAAAAGAGTCGGAGAGAGAGAGAGGAAGAGCAAAAATGAAGAGAGTGGAAAGAGAGAGCAAGAGAGAGACAGAGTGTGAGAGAGAGCAAGAGAGAGACAGAGTGTGAGAGAGAGCAAGAGAGAGACAGAGTGTGAGAGAGAGCAAGAGAGAGAGAGCGTGAGACATAGAGAGAGAGAGAGAGAGAAAGAGAACGTGAGAGATAGAGAGAGAGAGAGAGTGTGTGTGAGAGAGAGACAGAGAGACAGAGAGAGTGTGAGAGAGAGAGAGAGAGATAGAGAGTGTGAGAGAGAGAGAGAGAGTGTGTGAGAGAGAGAGAGACAGAGAGAGACAGACAGACAGAGAGAGTGAGAGAGAGAGAGAGAGAAAGAGAGAGATTCGAAGTCAATTGGGTAAATTTCATTAATTTTCAACATTTTGGATATATACATAAATACTTATTAGAATTTACAACTCAGTCCCTATAAAAGGTTATTATGGACACATTCTATTGTTTAAAAATCTATTCTAAATCTGTGTTTTTAATAATATGCATCTGCCATGGAAGATCGATTCCCATATATCATTCTCATACGCGAAACCAAAAAATATCTTATTTTCAGAAGATCTTATTTTCAGACCTATAAATGTTTTTGTTTAAAAAGGTCATATTCAGATTTCTTACAGAAAAAAAAAATCCAACAACATGTATAGTGTGGAGCCTTGCTGGGAGGGTTTATTTACCTTCCTGAGGTCTTTGTATAAAGCATCAACAAACGCTTGCTTGTTCTCTGCGATCATCCGTCTCAGGTTATGTAGGTGTGTGATTCTCGCTTCATACGATCTTGTCTTGCCTGCGTCAAAGGCTCTCCTGGAGCTCTCCACCACCTAGGGAATAATAATAATGAAAAAACAATCTGGACTTATATAGCGCTTTATACGGAATAGAATCCCTTAGTGCTATATAGATATCATTACCCCGGTCATCGGATTCTTTCACGCACAATATGAACCATCTCCACTCCCTGGGGAGTATTCCTACCACCCTGAGGGCATATGGCAATTACTAACACAAATGCTTAGTCATCCTACCAGGTCCCCATTTCTCTCTTAGGTATTGAGTGGCAAATGTAGATTCATGACTTGCCAAAGGACATTGCTGATTTTCTGGGGAAGACAAACAAGACAGAGATGTTTTTTCCAACATTGTCTTTTAGAAGTTAATGAAAGCATAACAGCCAAATCAACATTTTAGTATGAGACTAATAATATTGATAATTGGATCTATATAGCATCTTTTCCAGAGGATACAAGGTGCTGTCCCTCAGACAATCAACAAATGAAGATGAATCGTAGAGGTATGTTTTCAGATGTTTTTTTTAAAAGAAAGGTGAAGTACTATTTCTACAAATGCAGGGATTTTGTTCCATATGTGTGGGGCAATGGATTGAAAGGATTTGAAGCCAGCCTGCTTTGGGGCTTTGGGAATGAGAAGGGAACGAGCTGATGTTGAGCATGGGACCATTTTGTTTTATGAAGTAGAAGTAGATATATTCTACTCACCATCCCAGCATCAAATCCATCAGCCATTATATTGCTCGATGATGGGAACACTTTCCATGAACAATCTGTGTATTTAAAAAAAAAAGAGAGAAACACACATGTACAATATCATATGGGTAATTGATTTTCTAGATTGAATTCCACCATCTAAATCTAAATTGGTGTATAAAGTAGCAAGACTGTCTTGCCCAAAATGGTTTCTCTTGACTACTAGTAAGTTGCCTGGCTAAAAAAGTGCCTAAACATGCTTAATACAAATATATAGTAATATAATTATAACATTAAATACCAAAGTCCAAACCATGTTTTTTAAGTCTTTAAAATTAAAGTTTAAGAAGTGTGAATTAAAAATAAACAAGTCCATATCAAACATCTACATTTTTACAAAACTTTCTTATTTACATTAGTAGGCCAAATCTTACAAACTTTACTTAAAGTTTTGCGTTAAATGTATGTCGTCTCTTCTTGTGATCACTCTCTTGTCTGTCTGGCCTGGCTCACAGTACAGTGCCGAGGCCGAGTGCAGTGTCGCCCAATAGTAGGCAACCATACACAGTTATGATGGTACGGGACTGCCAGATCTTAATGTTGTCTATTTCGAGTCTATAATGTTCTTCCATTCTTATGCAATTAAGTTGAATCCAGAAGGAAGCAGTTAGGATATAATGCATGAAATACATAAGACCTACGTATGGTTACAATGCTATTATGCTAATATGGTCTTACCTTTATAACAATATGCGAGCATGCAAGCAGAAGCTTCCGTGAGTCCGTGTTTACTTTTTTTTCACAATGGCAATGTGCTTCAAATGCTGGGACATATTACTCCAGTTACGTACGTACTAGACTGTACGTGGCATACGTAGTAGATCTACTAGGCCTACAGCCGAAAGTCCTGTCAAAAGTGATGCTTCTCTCAACATTAATAATTAATTTATAATGACCCTTCTGTCAAAATTAATTATTAATTGGGGTATATTGATCAGCACTTATCATGGGATTCGTATATCAACAATGTTTGTATAAAGTTTTAAGTAGTGCAAATATTCTCCTAGTTTGTGTATAATTCTGTGGGGGCAAGTATATCACCGGTTGGACAGAAATAACCGTCTGATATGGGTCATATCTTTAATAAAACTAACATTTGTTGACATTCCCCAATTTATACAGACGTAGTCTCAGTGGAAGAATCGACGATATAGAGAGACTGAAGCTTTTCATGGTCTAATCACCGGTATATCATCCCACTAAACTGAAAGACAATAATATATAGCATTATTTTGTTGTAATGCAAGTTGTACTCTCCATCTCTACCAATACTGTTCAAAATATAGAAAAGTTTAAAATTCTTTCAAAATTGTACACCGCTATTTTAATTGTAGTTTTCCTCCGTATGTATTTGAGGCTCAAATTTTCTTCAAACCATGATTATAAAACTCGTAGCATAACTTCCAAAAATAGGAAAGTAACATCCAGTCCTCTCTAAAAATCAATGCACCATTTTTTGAAGTGTTTTAAGGAATTCATTGTCCTTTCATCAAGAGAATCCCGCTTCTAAATCAATTTAAAAGAAAACTTAAATCATATCTGTTATTTTCTTATCAATACAATTAGTGTCAACGTTTTCCCACTAATTAAGTCGTTTCTAATTAAATTTTCAATTTGATACCCATGCAAACACAATTGTTCTACCTTACTTTTTCTCATCTTTATCTAGACCATCATGCTGTCAGGCCTCAATAGGATTTAAATGATGGTCCATTTTATTCTCCTTATTTTATATGAATTCATTTAATATAGGCCTACGTTGTAATTTACTTATGATATGACTGAATCAGTGTGTAAAGGCAGGGCCAAAAGCATGACCAAGTGGCGTAGGTATAGATCGAGGGGAGGGGCTAGCCTACACGAGGAGCGTCGATCACTCCCCCTCCCCCAGGCCTCGAGAGGTGGACAAATCTATTTAAAGCCACACTGTCCTACTTGTAGCTACTTAATTGCTCCCTCTATATAGAAAACAATATATGCCTAATCGATGACCATTGGTCCCCATGATCATCTTCTTATGTTAATTGAGAGCTGAGTTGATGAGTTAGCCACCTGTCAGTGACCACCCTGGGCGGTATAATCCCTCCTAGTTAAACTAGTTGAGTTCTGGGAAGAGGTGAAAAATAATTTGTGAGCATTACTCATCCTTATTATGCAAGTATGGAAGAACACCAGTTAAGACATGTTCCCTGAAAAGCATGGCTCTTTAAATGCCTTCATATTCTAAATATGCATGTAACATCGTAAAAATCGGGGGCCGGCTTTTTACGCCACGTGTTCGTGTAGTCCCATATACATCTTTCTGTGCAAGTGTTTGTAACTTTACCAAGACTTGGCCGAATTTCTTATCATTTTGATGATTCCAGAACCTTGCAATACACACAAATTCTTATATGCTAGATGATCAACCTTTTCTGGTCGGTTCCACACCGTTTCTTTCACAATGCAATCGCATGACCAGAACTCAACTCTTTAAAACGAAAATATAATAAAAAGAGAAAAAGGTGAAGGAGGGCGAAAAAGAGAGGGTTGATTTGAGGAAACGCCAGCTGGACCGTCCTCATCTTAGCTCCTTAAATCAGTTGCCTTTCTAAATCTTTATTTCATTTTGCGAGTAGGACACTTAAGCGCCCCCCCCCCCATCGATCATAGTCTCAGTACCCTTTGCATAAACTCACGATTTTCCTTCGATTGGAAATGGCATAGATTAAATGCAATTTCTAAAATGTTCCAGTTTTACAAATCTGAGTTGCATGGCTTTACGTGTTATCAGTGTGTCTGTGATATGGTGTAATATTGAAGCCCTAAACAAATTGGCGCTTAAGAATGATCATGAAGTGTTTCAAAAAAAGTTAAAACCTTTACCCCAATAGACTGTAGTGTTATAAACACCGTTGGGAAGTTAATTCCAATATTAAATATCGGCTTGATAATCAAACATGCGATTGGCTTGTAAAAGTTATAGGATTCATTTATGAACTAAAGGTTTATAATTATGATTGCAACATGAGCTAAATCCAGAATTTTGTTAAGAATCAGAGGCAAAGTTACCTATACCTTTAATAGAGTCTCTTTTTTCCCCTTCATGTCATATTGTTTAGTCCACCATATTCAAGTCTGGTATCTGCATGCATGCGAGTCAAGAGAACAGTACGAACACATTTTCAAAAATAGATTATAACAGCCCCAAAAATCCGGGAATTAGCGCGCCCAAAGTCATAATTAAGCTATCGACGTATCATCAAGGGGCGGATCGGTTTATTTATTTTTTTAAAATCCCCCTTTCTTCTGTTCAAGTTTCCCTTTCTCTCTTTCTCTCTCTCTCTCTCTTTCTCTCTCTTTCTCTCTCTTTCTATTTCTCTCTCTCTCTTTCTCTCTCTCTCTCTTTCTCTCTCTTTTTCTCTCTCTTTCTCTCTTTCTCTCTCTCAAATTTACGCCATTCTTTGACAAAGCACATGCCCATCCATACACAAAATTGTCATCGGTCTTTATACCACTTTATTCAACTCTTTAAAGATGAAGTTGAGTTCTGGTCATGTGATTGCATTGTGAAAAAAACGGTGCGGAATCTATCAGGAAAGGTTGATCATCTAGTATATAAGTATTCGTGTGTATTGCAAGGTTCTGGAATCATCAAAATGATAAGAAATTTGGCCAAATCTTGGCAAAGTTACAAGCATGATGTATATGGGACTACACGAACACGTGGCGTAAAAATACGTCCCTGGATTTTTATGATGTTTCATGTCATATTTAGAATATGAAGGCATTTGAAGAGCCATGCTTTTCAGGGAACATGTTTAATCTGATGTTCTTCCACCCTAGCATAATAACAATGATAACGCTCACAAATTATTTTTTACTTCTTCCCAGAACTCAACATTCTCTCTAAAATCATTCCTATCAAATGTTGAAAAAAGAAACGTTATGGTTTTCTTTCATGTATTTACCTTTAGTAGATTCGATTCCATCTATATAATTCAAGTTACATTTTTGTTTTCTTATTCCAATTTCCCATTTTAGAAAATATACAAAAGTATTTAGATAACGGAATGTCTACAGATTGTCATAAACATTAATCAAAAGCTGGCAATCTAATTGATAAAATAATTATGATGTTTATGCGTTAACCTATTACTAGAAACTAAAGGCGCTATTTCTTCGTACAACACAAAAAGCTTTTCTATAAAAAATGTCTTGACATAATTGGTGACATACATATATAAACTACCGAGGTGAACTTGGAATATTTAGTGAGGATCGTCCAACAAAAATGGAACCATTCAAATTTGCATATGCAAATAAAAGTCTGCAATCGGCAGTCAGTCTGAGAACTGTCGAAAAACCTTTCCACTACCAGATTGTTTGGTCGGAAAAAGGTTTTCGATGCAGCAGCCGTAAACCTCCAGCCGACCAAAATGCTCCGGAGACCAACCGCTGACCACTGTAAACCTTCTAAAGACTGCCAAATACTTCTCTGCCATCTCTGACAACTGACTGCCGAGCAGTGGTTCTCAGAAGAGGGCGACCGGTCGTAAGCTCTAGTGTTACTTAAGATTTATCATAATTATACGGGGTGCCTCCAAACAAAAATCCACGATATTGTGATTGGCAACATCTTAAAAAGTATTCAATCTATATTAAAGTAATATGTTGTAGCAGTCTTTTCGAATATTTCTGATAATTTCACATAAATCTTAACTAAAAACTACAAAGTTATGATCGGTTTGGTAAGACGTACCATGTTCAAATGTTCCAAAGAGAACACACTGGTGCAAAATGACGTTTCGTGGCAAGCTCTGAAATAAACAGCAATTCTTGTTAAAAAAAGGTCGTTAGGAATTAAGAGTAACGTCATTTACACAAAAACCTAAGGTAAACTAACGTCTTAGTATATCATCTTTAACAGAGACATATTGGCAACATCCAATCAAACACAAATAGAAAAACCGAAAAACAGGTTAAGCAAAGTTCATTCATGGTAATGGATATCACAATAGCAATGTTTTGTGTTTTTTGCTAATTTTGTTTGTTTTTACCAGTTGTTATTTCTTTATAAACTATGCCGTGATTTTTTTTACAGTACATACCTCACGTCGTAATGAATGAAATAAAAATGAGTTACATTTTATATATTCATAACATTTTGTCGCGGCCATTGAACGACCTGCGAAAATCATTAACAGATTTGCAGATTTGTAGATTAAAAACTACAAAATATATACAATCATGACAATCATAACATAAACAGAACAATATTAGAAGAACGTTTAATGGAATAATACATTTTTAACTACAAATTCCCTGTTGTTGGGTAAAGTATCATATACACTGTATATACATATTATATAATTGAAGTGAGAAATATAAGTGTAGGCATACAAATGAATTAAGTGCACTTTCTAATCACAAATCTTAATTGTACCTTGGGTTAACATGAAGACTGGTATAATAGAATACAGCTTTTCGATTAAGAAAGCAATTCAGAAGAAGAAAACATACTTCGTAACTGATTAATGCAATGCTATGTAATTATTTAAACCATTATGTAATTCATGAATATATGTATATTGGTGTCAGTTAATAAGTTGAGTTATTTAAGTGAAACTAGTATGTTGAAATGCAGATTGAAATAGCGTCGGAAAACAAAGGATGTCTAATCAAGTCATTATTACAAGTAAGATATTATTTAGATGCAAGGTAGGAGATCATTAGATAAAGAGTTTCACCTCACAAATCCTAATTGTACCTTACAATAT